TTTTTTTTTTTTTTTTTTTTTTTTTTTGGGATCCGCACCTAAATTACCCAACTTAGGTGCAGGCGTTGGGGATTCTATTGCCACACAAAAAAAGAAGGGAATCCCTCCCTCCACAAACAACCCGGGGCCCAAGTCCCACTAGCAGCGTTGAGCTACGTCAACGCCCGAATCTGGACGTGTTTGTGGAGATGTGCAGTTGACGAAACTCAAAGCCATCTGTGCACTTCTCCACAAACACGACCACATTCAGGCGCTGCTAGCGGGAGTTGGCCCCGGAGGAACCGAGAAAAGGAAACGGACTGAGACCATTGCCCAGCTTAGGTGCAGGCCTTGGGGATTCTAGTCCTGGGGCCTCTCTGCACTACTCTAGACATGCACAAAAGACAAAAATAATGGCGGTGTATCTTTCTATAATCTAGCGGAAGATTCACTATCGTTTTGCGCTTTTCAAGAGTACTGCAGCCAGGCCCCTTGTGTAGACCGTCGCTTGTATTCGCTGGAGTATCTGATTGAGATCAAATAAAAATACATTTCGTCCGACATATCAAATATAATGACGTCCCACATATCACATACGATTTCTATGGGATGCTCGATCGGGTTCATCTGACGGCGGGAGGGACCAAAAGGCGGTAAAATCGAAAAGGAGCATCCGACGTGTCACTCAATTAACGCGACGACGAACTTACACGACGAAATAGATCAAACGTGTCCCGTCCGATTTGCATCGTCGGGTCGTAAGAAGTGCCTGCCTGTACTGGCTGCCGTCTCTGATTGGGCACTCGATCTGTTTGATCTAACGGTGGCAAATCTAAGTAGCGGCGGCTAATCTATAACTAACGGCGGCTAATCTAACGGCGACTGATCTAACTAGCGGCGGCTGATCTGAGTAACCGCGGCTACTCTAACGGCTGCTGATCTAACTAACGGTGGCTAATCTAACGGCGGTGAGGTGAATTGTGTTGATCGTTCATTCGATCAATGTCGCTGGCGGGGATCGGCTTGCGCTCGGCGATCCGGCGGGCACGGGCGGATGCTGCTGCGCTAGGATGCGCCTACGGCGGCGGCGGCGGCGGAGGCGGAACGAGCGGAGGATGGCGCGGAGGATGGCGCGGAGGAAGGCGCGAAGCGTGCTGGCGGGAAATCCGCGATGACAAGTGTCCACGGACCGTGCCCCGTCACTCCGAGGAGTCGCGCGCGGAGACCGCGGTTGTCTGCGCCAGTTCTGACGGGTTTGCCCTCGGCGGAGATGATGGACGGCGCGGAGGAAGGCGCGAAGCGTGGTGGCGGGAAATCCGCGATGACAGGTGTCCACGGACCGTGCCCTGTCCCTCCAACGAGGCGCGCGCGGAGACGGCGATTGTCTGCGCCAGTTCTGACGGGTCCGCCCGCGGCGGAGATGATGGATGGCGCGGACGGCCGAGATTGACAGATGGAAGTCGATCGCCGGGGAACGTTTGCAACGAGAATCTTATCCGATTTGGATTTGGAGTCGAGTTTGGATTTTCTGACACGTGTCGAACGAGCATGCAATCGGCGGCGCCTGCTATAGCTGACGCGTGGTGCGCTTCTGCTGTCCAGCAGCAGCAGCAGCAGCAGGAGCTACTGCAGCGGCGGCGGCAGCAAGATCCTCTGTGCATCAATGACGTAGATCCCCCGATCCCGATAGGCATGCGAGGACGGCGATGGCATTCATTATTTTTGGCGGCGACGTCGCAGATTGCTGACACGTGGCATAATGGTGGGCAGCGTTCGTCGGGGTCGGGATTCTGCGATCAACGGGGAGCCGGCAGCAGGAGATTTGATAGCGATCAACTGTTTTTTTGGGGAAAACGATCGAGCGGTGTCGTTGTCGGTGTCGGGATGGATCGGGATCGGGGAAGGATGGCTATGGCGGCAGGCGCATCGTCGCCGTCGATTTCGCGCGCGAGAGGGATCGTGACGCGGGCGCATCGGCGGGCGCGGGCAGTGCATCTCTTCCGGTGCCCGGTAATTGCCCCTCCTTTGTTTGTCCTCTTCTCCCTCTCCGCCTACGGGTCACCGGGCAGTTCTCTATGACGATGTATATATGTGACGATATATTGTCACATATATATGAACAGGGGGAGCTTTCCTTCCTTACTTCGTTCCTTTTTTGTTTTGTCTTTTTTTGCCTTCTCGCTCCGATACACGGTGTGCCGATATATTTGTCACAGCCCCTAGTTTTTTGTCCTCTTCTCTTTCTCTGCCTACGGTTTACCGGGCAGTTCTGTTTGTGACGATATATATATAAAATATATATATGTAAGTAATATATATATGTATATATATACACAATTAAGAAGCTAAAAAATGAATTGAATATATGTATATCGCTTTTGCGCTCTGATAACTTTGTGACAATATATACACATATCGTCAAACAGAAGTGCCCGGTAAACCGTCGGCAGTACGTCATTAAAAACAATATAAGTATTTTTATTCTAAAAGTCTCCAATCGGATATTTTGTTTTGGGGGAAAGAACCAAAAAAAAAGTGACAACCAATGACCGAAGAGTAAACAAAAAACAAAAAACATGTTTCCTAGCAAGGAAAGCGACAAAAAAAAAAAGAAAAAAAAAGATAGAGCTTCCGGGTACGCATAATTGAAGGGAAAGAAAAAAAAAAAAACGTTATATACCTCCGCGTGTAACTCGGCTCAGAACGCGCACTCTGTGATTGGCTGGGGATTGTAGGGCTGTACTCTTTCACTCTAATTTTGGTTGCGGGTAACGAGTGTTTTTTTCCTCGCGTGTGTTCGATCTTTGTCCCATTGATTCTGCGCGCGGCGGCAAACGAGCCGACAATGAATGCCACAGTAACGACTCAAGGCCTTTTTCTTCCTCGTTTTTTTTTAGTTTTTTTCTCCTTTTTTTCGCTTTTTTTTTCTTTTTTTTCCTGTTTTTCCTCTCCTTCTTTTTTCTTTTTTTTTCTGTTTTTTTTCGTTTTTATTCGTTTTTTTTTTCGTTTTTTTTTCGTTTTTTTTTTCGTTTTTTTTTCGTTTTTTTTCCGTTTTTTTGGTTAAGAAGAGGTAACCGTTATGTTATGTAGCGCGCGTGCAATTTCCAGCGTAGGCAAGCCCTTGTTCTAAATTCTCGGAAATTGCCGACGAACGGGACAATCTGATGAAGATTATGATGTCGATGGCTGATGAATCGGTGATGACGATGATTGATGATGATAAAGATCGGAGATGATAATGGTTGATGATGATCATTGATGATGATGATTGATGAATGACGGATGTTGATGATGATCGATGTTGATGATTCCATGATGATGATTGATGATTATTTATGATGATTGACGATGATTCATGTTGATGATGATGATGATGATGATGATGATGATGATTGACAATCATGATGACGCAAAGCTTTTGATGCTTTCCTTCAATCGTGACCATGATGACGAGTACAAGGATGATGATGATGATGATGATGATGATGGCGGTAATGGTGCTGCTGATGATGATGATGGTAAGATAGCGGTTATGAAGATGATCGATGACAATTGATGATGATGATGATGATGATGATGATGATGGTTAATGAGGATGATTATGACGACGCGAAGCTTTTGTTGTTTTGATGACCATGGTGACCACTACTGGGATGATAATGATGGTGATGGGGGTAATGGTGATGACGACGATGACAAGATGTCGGCTATGGTGATGATGGGAATGCTGATCATGATGAGGATGAAGAAGAGGGGGCTGCTCCTGCTGCTCCCGCTCCCGCACCCGCTGCTGCTGCTGATGCTGCTGCTGCTGCTGATGATGATGATGATGACGATGCTGATGGTGATGATGAAATTTATGAGGAGAAGGATGAGGGTTATATGATGATGACCCAACTTTGTTTTCGTGCTTTTCTGTGGACGCATTTGGACGGGGACTGCATTACTTTCACGCCGTGTGTGGTCGGCTTTTTATCCTAGTCGGTCAAATATGATTTTTGTTTGATTTCTTTTTCACCTTACATTGTAAGTTTTTCTTTTTGCGTTTGATTACACGCAAAGGTCGGTGTTTGCGACTGTTGTTCCTCCCCCTCCCCCCCCTAATTAGAGCAAACATTACTGACAGTGGGGCGAGTTTTTCGACGGAATGTGGCGCGAATTGCGTTCTGATACATTCAGGAAAGCGCCCACGTCGATCTTGGACCGTACATTTTCGACAGTAGATTTTCGACCGCAATTTTTTTTTTTTTTTTGGGAGGGCGGGGGGGGGGAAGGAAGGCGAAATGTGATCTTCGAGCTAACCAACCCCAGATAAATTTGGAGTTACATGTGGTTGTGATCTGGATTCGAGCTTGGGTCTGTGTTTCAACTGTTCATGGGTGTGTACCAACTGAGCTACCGGTAGGCCAACTTGTGACCGTAGATTTTTTTAATCGTCGATATTTCATCGGTAGATCTTTTGACGTGGATGTTCGACCTTAGATCTTTGACCGAAGATCGAAGACGGGCAGTTTTTTTTTTTTTCTGTTTTGTAAAATGCGACGTCGGTGAACTGAACAAGTAAGCAGAAAAAAAATAAATAAAAAAAATTGTGAAAAAATCGTGAAGTTAGTTAAGCATACTATAAAATTTGAAATTTAGAAGACATGGTGGATGAATTTAAGAAAAGTAAAAAAGCTGGGCATGTGTGAGTCAAGCTGTTGTTGCAGGAGTGGGCAACTCCACACCTGTTGAAGCTCTTTTTTTTCCTTTTTTTTCTAATCTGGTAAAAAGGCTGGGCATGTGTGAGTCAAGCTGTTGTTGCAGGAGTCCATACCTGTTGAAGCTCTTTTTTTTTTTTTTTTTTTTTTTTAATGCGGTCCGATGGACCACGGATCAGATATTAAACTATACTTTATCTATTGTCACACTGGAAATCGGAGCGCAAAGGCGGAAATAGACAAAACAAGAAAAAGAAAAAGAAGTAAGGATCTATACACTTTATCTATTTTAAGCCGAAAGGCCGAGAAAGGTTTTGTGTTGAACGCTTGGACGGAACCTGTGTGGAATTTCCGGTCAGAAAATCCTGTTTTTCTTCTGGTACGCCCTCAAACTCAAAGCATATGTCCCTTCGTCGAGTTTCCGGTCCAGAAACCGATGAGGTTTTCCCGCTTTTTTTTTTACCCCCCTTTCCAAATGAGGTAGAGCCCTTTCTAACCCTCGGAAAGAAAAATAAGTCCTAGATTTTTAATTTTTTGTTTTAAATATATATATTATCGGACTTTATATTGACTAGTACTGTAGACGAACTGATCAGAACAGATGCTAAACTTGTTGACGTCAATGGCGTGAACTTGGCCGGGCAGCAGCAGCGTTGTTGACGTCAACGCCACGGACTTCGCGCAGTAGTGTCAATGCGTCTTTTTTTTTTGTTGGGGCGGGAAATTGTGATCCAGCATGATTTTTTCCCCTTTTTTGTAATTATCAGAAAAGATACTGCACTTGATCTTAGCCCTTAAAAAGCATGATCGTTTCCATTTTTTTAATTTTCTGATATTGAACTTAGTATCAGATATTGTTTCCTTTGCAGTATCTTTAATTATCAGTCTACTTTTTTTTGTTTTTTTTGGCGGATTCCCTGGATTGTGTTTTTTTGGATATCATAAATTTATAATAATGACAATGCTGTTGTTGCCGACGTCAACCGGGAAAAAAAGATTATCTGTCAACGATACGGCGATGATGCTCAGCGGAAAAAAAAAAAAAAAAAAAAAAAAAAAAGCACGATAGTGCTCGTCGGCCGCAACGTTGTTGAGTTGACGTCAACATTGGGAAGTCTCTCCTTCCTAGCATGACATCGCTTGCGGGGGAGAGGGGAGATGTATAATAATACTGTTGACGTCAACCACTTTTATGAATGTGCTTGTGACCATGTTTGTTGATGACGTCAACCGGAACGTCAACCGCTTTTTATTAATGTGCTTTTGGTCATGTTTGTTGCGGTCATGGTGCTTTTTTCCTGGTGATGACATCGCTTGTGGATTATGAATGCTGTTGATGTCAACAACGTACTAAAAAAAATTGCTTGCTTGTCGTTGCCGTCGCGCCCATGAACGTGATGTGCGCGGTTGGCATTGTTGATGACGTCAACCGGCCGCACCGTGCTCATGCATATCACGGTCATGGCCGTGACGGCAAAGACGAGCAAGCAATTTTTGGTGACGGCATCACGTTCATGAGCGTGATGTGCCGGCCTGGTTCACGAAAGGAAACGTCGTTGCCGTCACGCACTGTGAACGTTGTTGCCCCTTTTTTTTGGGGGTGATAAACTAATGACAAATAATAATATATAAAATTGTGTTGTGTTACTTGTGTAACAATTTACTAAAAAAAAAAAAATGATATTTGCGCGGTTGGCATTGTTGATGACGTCAACAGGGCGGAACTTGCGCGGCCATCATGTCTTTCCGATGATAACACGTCGCCGTCAACGTTGGTTGTCGAGTTGTTGACGTCAACCACACGAACGTCGTGCACCTGGCTGTTATCCAAAAAAAAGGAAGAATTTTTTTTTTGTTATGCGGTGATAATAAATTAATATTTTAAATTAAATATGAAAATTAAAAAAATAATTGAAATGAAATCGTTATATTTTGTGAACCTTCTCCTCCCGAAGTCTGCTGTCGGTACTGCACCGGGTCGTCTTAATCAGCCGATGCGGTGATAATAAATTAAAATTTTTAATATGAAATTACAAAAATAATTGAAATGAAATCGTTACATTTTGTGAACCTTCTCCTGCCGAAGTCTGCTGTCGGTACTGCACCGGGTCGTCTCAATCAGCCGTGCATTCACGTTTTTGCCGTGGACGCCAAACGACCACCATCATTTTTCCTTCTTCGCTTCAGAATCTATGATTGATTGGCTTGATTGTGTTGTTAACGAATTACCCGTTGATGGTTGCCGTACCATTCTTTTTTTTTTTTTTTTCCGGGGAATGGGGGGGCGCGGCGGGATTAAGGCTTCAATCTTCTTATTCATTCACTCACGTACCTTTTTCTTATCCATTCGGATAGTACTCTATCCAATCCTTTGTGTTGTTGTATTCTTCGGATGATGGGCCTCGCTCCACTGCACAACACTTTGACGCATTTGGACGCTTTTCTGGACCAGGTGCATTCGGAGGGGGGGGAGGAGGGGAATTGTTTTCAATTTTCAATTTTTCATTTTTAATTTGGTAAAGAATTTGGATGCGACGCTGAGGCAAAAGTTCTTCAGTTTATTTTTCTGCATAGCGTAGTTTTTTCTTTCGGATTTTTTTTTTTTTTGTTCTTTTTTGGGTTCCTGGGACCTTCCCTGGTCCTTGCACGGCCGAGCCGCCCGGGAAAACAGAGTGACCCGGACGGCCCGATTGGTAGCCTAGCTTTGGACGCAGTTGGACGCTTTTCTGGACCAGGTGCATTCGGATGAGTCCAACATTTTGAATCTACCTGGTGCCGAAAGGGTCCAATTGCATGTGAAGTGTTGTGTCGTGGAGCGAGGCCCAATTTGACATTGAATGGATATATACGATATTATCCGGTCGATAAAAAAATATATACACGATATTCTTTTCTTGTGGACCATAGAAGCGTCGACCAGATAAGATTCTGTTTGGATAAGATTAAAAATATATATTATTTTTTTTCCCTTTGTAAAAGGCAGCGGCGTTGAGATATCATCATGGTTTCCCAAAAAAAAAAAAAAAAAAAAAAAAAAAGATATCATCATGGAACTCACCGGCCCTAGCTAGTTCAGAATAATTGTAGTATTTACCAGCGGGCCGACCTTCTTCCCCCGAATACAACGGACGGTAATTATAGCTGTATCTAGACTGAAAGATGCCTCAAATACAGCTATAATGACCGTACAATTATTCTGGATAATATACCGAAATTCAGAGTAATTGTAGAATTTACCAACGGGCCTAGCTCAGTTGGCAAACCCCATGAACTGTTGAAATACAGACCCAAGTTCGAATCCAGATGCAATCAGATGAAAAAAAGAGCGACATATTTCTGATTTATGTATCACTGGTCCGCTGTCAACCTTTTTATAATTAAAAAAAAAGAGGTAGAGAAGAGGAAGAGGAGGAGGAGGAGGAGGAGGAGAAGAAGAAAAAAAGAATTGTAGGTTTTTTTTTTTTTTTTTTTTTTTTTTTCATGACATCCGTGACAGACAACTACTGGTCAGGCTGTAAGAGCGCCTGGTGGGTTGGAGTCTGCACTGTTTGATGGCTCCAAATCTATTAGTGGGGAGCTGCACCTGTTGAAAAGCGGGTCCAACGTCCCAACCACAAATTCTTGTATCCGTAGTATCCAAATCATTGACGACTCATAGACCTCTCACCCATAAGGGTTCCAGATATAATCAAATTACAACCTACCGTCTTCACCCGAATAGAATGCCCGGTAATTATGGCCGTATCTGGTCTGAAAAATGCATCAAATACAGCTATAATGACCGGGCGTTCTATTCGGGTGAAGACGGTAGCCTCTAAGTTCTGTACTGCCACCCCAATTTTCTAATGGGTCATTTTTAGAACCATTGATAGGTGAGCCACAGCACTAGATTCTAACAGCATTGTTAATTCGCGGACGGGACAAAAGGGAAAACACTCAACAGTAGGTATTACTTAGGGGAGACTGAGGCAACCAGTGCCCCTTCAGGGGGGCCTAGGGCCCATCAGCCATGGTTCTAGTGCAATTCCCTTTACCGTCGATTTTAACATCCGTAATTTGAGGCCCCAGGTTCTGAAAAAAGAGCTTCTGCCAAAACTGTGCATAGCTCTTGCTGTTTTTCTCCAGTCTGCCCAGATAATGGACCGAACAGTAGTACGAACCATGCTCATTATGCAGAGATCCGAATGAAACTTTGTGCGGAAGAGTCTGTCATTGTGTAGCTTCCAGATTATGTCCATGATGGCCGCCCTGCACGGCGCACGCTGAGGCCACATAAGTGCAGCCTTTACCCACCTCTTTCTCATTACACAGGACCCCATCCACCACAAAGCTTTCTTCCGATTGTATTTCTTCCTCCGCATGTTTGGCCCACACAACCTAGCCCACCACTGCCAAATCCGTTTGGATTCTATGCACTCCCACCGGAGGTGGGTGGCGGTCTCTGCTCCCTTTTTGCACCGGCAACATGTTTCTTCCACTGACATGTTTTTAGTAGCTAGCCATTTGGCTGTAGGGACCACTCGGTGGGATTGGACTCATTGGAGCCATGACAAGCTACTGAATTTGGCCGAGGAAATTTTCCTAAGGTTTTTCCAGAGTTTTAGCGGTCATAACATTCCTTGTAGGCTGTTGTCTCTCTGCCTGTTCCGTTGTCCATCTATTCTTAACTTCCAAGGGGATGGAGCATGACCTCACCAGACACGGGTAACCCACCTTAGGCCTGTAACAGAAGAGTGGGATTTCCTGAACTGGGTCTGAGATCCGCCATCCCCAATGGAGAAGGAGGGCTTTGAGCGTATGAGCAGGGGTAGGACCCACTGGACACAGTATCTTAAACTGACCCTTGGCCCTCTCCCGGGTACACGTGACAATAGAGGCGGTGGAAGACCAGTACAACGATATCTTCCTCGTGTGGTTGTAAAAACCATGCCTCTCCCTCTCTTTCTGGTACCAAGGTACCAGATACCGCAACCGCCTCATTAGCATTAACAAGTTGTTGGATTTTCCAAAATTCCACTGAACCCTCCCCATCCATTTTACGGACCCACTTCCCTTCATATGCTTGGAGTGGGTCTGGCAGTGACAGAATGAGTTTCCAAGATGGTGGTAGTATTTTACTCACCTGCTCTCAGTAGAGTTCAAACTCAGGTCTGTGTTTCAACAGTTCACCCCAAACTCAGGTCTGTGTTTCAACAGTTCAGGCAGGGGTGTACCAGCTGAGCTACCTTCTTCCCCCATATACAACAATGTACGGTCATTATAGCTGTATCTAGACTGAAACATACCCCCAATACGGTTATAATGACCGTGCGTTGTATTCGGGGGAAGAAGGTAGGCAGGTTGGCAAAAAAGAATCTTATCCGGTGCTTTTTTCTCTTATTGAAGTGCCACGTCCTCGGCATATCATCATAGAACTGACCGGTCCCAGGTAAATCAGGAACTGATTCTTTTTCTTTTCTTTTCTTTTCTTTTTTTTTCTTTTCTTTTCTTTCTTTTTTATACAAAAGGGCGACGGCCTTTAAGTATCATCATATTTTTTTCTTTCTTTTCTATAAAAAAAGGGCGACGGCCTTTAAATATCATCATAGAACTGACCGGCGGGGTGTGTGTCCCACTAGAGTGGGTTTAGCATTTTCCAACGTGGTCACACTGGGGCCGTGAGATTTTCCAACGACACACATGAATCGAGAAACGGTCCACATTAGAGGAAAACACACACACACACACAAATCGAGGGGGGGAAAAACAAAAAAAATCGAGAAACGGTTCACATTAGGGGGAAAAACAAAACACACACACACACACACACACACACAAACACACACACACGCAGAGAACACCCGTATGTTCTATTTGAATAGAACACCCGCTTGTTCGAATAGAACACACGTGCATACTATGCGAATAGAACATACGTGCGTACTATTTGAACTTGCGTTCTATTTGAATTTCAGAGGGTGACTTCTAGAAACCGACTTTTCCAGGGAAAGTTGAATAGTACATACGTGCGTTTTGTTCGGGGGAAGACTGTAGGCCGGTCAGTCCCAACGCTATGTGTTTGACTTCTGAGTGGATAAAAGATTCTATTGCTGAGTTGATAAAAGATTCTATGACCGAATGGATAAGGTTCTATGGCTAAATGGATGAAGATTCTTTGGAGAGAAAAAAAAGACTGCTTTTTTTTTTTTTTTTTTTTTTTTTTTTTTTTTTGAAGAAATGGGGGTAAAGATTCTATGGCCTGAAAAGGCTGAATGGAAAAGTTGACTCTATGGGTGAATGATTGTGGTGATGATGACTTTGATGAAACAGGACAAATTAGGGGTGGTCGCAAAATTATCGGAGTGTGTTGCATCGAATGGGGCGAATATGATCACCGTCGATCTGCATATTGACTTCGACGCCTCCGATGCGCCTATCTTTTATTCCAGGAGGTATTCTGCAGTGCTACCAACAAGCCCAGAACCATCGTTATCTTCTTCATCACCACTTCATTTTTATTTTTTCTTTCACTCTTTTCTTCCCTCTCTCCCCTCTCTCCCCTCTCTTTCCGCTGTTCCTTGTCTCGCACACTCTTCCCTCTCTTCCCCTTTCTCCCTTTCTCTCCCTTTCACCACTCTCTCTTAGCCTCCTCTCTCTTCTTCCCTCTCCCTCTCTCTCCCTCTTCCCCCCCATTCCTCCCCCGTCCCCCCCCCCCCCCCCCCCCTCCCCCCCCCCCCTCCCCCCCCCCCCCCCCCCCCCCCCTTCTCTCTCTCTCTCTCTCTCCGTGTCGACATTTTACTCTCGTTTGTTTTTACAATGTATGGGACAAGTTCGGTGGACTGAATGTTACAATTATTCCTCCTTTTTGGTTTCGTTTTTTTTTTTCAGGGGGGGCAAGGAGAGAACGAGGGAGAGGGAGGGAGGAGGGGGGGATTCCCTAGAAAGGTAGTGAATTTGCGGAGGTGGTCCCTAGTTGACAACATTTTTGACGTTTTCACTTTTTCAGTGTTTTCACTTTTCACTGGAAGGTGTGTGCGATTCGAAAATGTGCGTGCAATGCAGGTCATGCATCGCAGGCATTGGACCTGATGACATTACTCACGGATGACTAAAAATAGCGAGCGCATCTTCCCAAGAAAGTGGCAACGTACATCGACAACTACTTATGGTGGAGGATGTATCTTGCCGCCTTCTATTTATAGCTGTGCACCACCTCAGTCAAAGCTACAAGTCATTCAGATAGCAATAAAATATTATAGTATTATTGAAATGTTGATAAAATATTATAATATTAGTAAAATATTAATAAAATATTAATAAAACTTTATAATATTTTTAAAATATTAAAAGTAGTAATTGAAACGGTTTTCACCTTTGCAGTAGCAGATGCAGATCCCAGGGCTCGATCCCTAGACCTTGCCCTCACCCGTGTTACCGTGTACATTTCAGTACCAAGTCGCTCCTGTGTGTTTGAACCCGTGACCTGTGTCTTAACAGTCGCCTGTTGCCTATGGTAGGTTAGTGTGGTCGTCGGGTCTCGATCCGTAGGTCTGTGGAGTAGGGGTCATAGCTGTGTAGAAGTCGTAGCTGCTACAGTCCCGAAAGGCCAAGTCTACATATTTCAGGAAGGTCCGGAAGTGGCTTTTCAAGTATTATTGTTGAAGTGAGGCTAGAGGCAAGTGGGCAGTCCAACCTCACCTAGTCAGCGATACCCAGTCCCGGTCGCACTTTGTCCAGTCAGCAAGTACCATGTGGGACTGTGCACCCTGGGCCCGGTGGAAAGGAGCAGACCAGCGACCAACCGAAAGTATAAATCAAGAGGCAGCGTCCAGTCATTCGTTCATTCAGCCTGTGAGCCGTGCGGAAGCGCTGCCTGAGCAACTTGTGCAAGGAGGTCTGCAGGTGCCTGAGGGAGAAGTGGGCTTTGAAGGAGACGAAGCGGCCATAGCCGCTAGTTAGTAGCAGGGAGTAGAAAGCAGCCATAGCTGCTGTAGGTTAGAGATAGGCAGTAACGTGTGTGCGTGTGAGTGTTCAGTGAAGTCTGTGCATGTGTGGGACATCCAGGGAGATCCAGAGTAGCGTGCGTGTGAACAGTTGCTGAGGATACAGTGATGCAAGGCTGTTGTGAGCGTGCACAGGTGCAATAGCCAATCGAAGCAAGTTCGAGTCTGAAATGTGTTCTTGGCCTTGATATATCTCTGAGTTTTGTGCAGGCGCCTGGCGCCAGTGTGATTTTCATCTGTTTTCATGCAAAGGAAGGAAGAAGACGAGTCTGGTTGCATAATAGAAAAGGAAGCCACAAGTTCCAAGTCTTTTTTTTTTTTTTTGGTTCTTGTAACTGCAATCTGACGAAGTCATCATTATAATCATGACTTCTAAAAAGCGCGCTACCCAAGGGTTCTCCCTTCGAATACAACACACTCTGATCATCAATGCACACACACATTTTTTGCCGGTAGCTGTGGTCCGATGCAGTCATGGTGAGGGGGGGCTGTGCTCAGGGGAAGGCAGGCGAGTGGTAACTATGTGTGACTGTGTGCTAGGAACATAGCATGAATGTGGTCGTACTGCAGGCCAGATTCATGCGAGACTGGCACAGGTAACGACTTAGGCTATACTCACACTGGTAGGATTTTTTCGTTTTCAACCTGCCTCTGACCGCAATTGAGGTCAGATGCATCCTGGTCGGGCTGCAATTGCAGCCATATACATTAATCTTTTAGAGAAGTGCTAGTGTGAGGGATGGCCTTAGACTCAGTTAGACTTACACTTGAGTCATGGGCTCTTAAAGGACTTAGACTAGAGTTAAGAGATTCACGTAAGTAGGCTTAAAATCAATAAAAAGACCATCATAGACCAGAAACCCACTGGTACCTTTCACCCCCCTTGAAAATCAAATATGCGTCGAGGTTCGGTACTACGGGACCGAAATGGCTGGTGGGGCCAGCCAAAATGAGGACCTCGCCCATTCGTTTTTTTTGCCCCGCAGGGAGATTTTAGGCTAGGCATCGATAGCTGAGAAAGGTACTGGTGGTTTAACACTCAGTGGTTGAGTTTCAAAGGACTTAGCTTTTCTACCTATTAAGTCATTTGAGTCTAGTACTTGAGAGTAGACCAACGAAAAAGCTGGATCTGGTCGTCTCAATATGATCTGGCGTTGGTTGGCTCAATTCCATGCTGACAACTCACTGGTGCTGAATCTTCAACTTTAGGCTAAAAGACACCCCCCCCCTCCCCTCTCTCTCTCTCTCTCTCTCTCTCTCTCTCTCTCTCTCTCTCTCTCTCTCTCTCTCTCTCTCTCTCTCTCTCTCTCTCTCTCTC